GAGATTATTGGGGCACAAGTTGATGACAAGCCTTGGCAGTGGAGAGAAGCTGAGCAGCCCTGGGGAGTTGAGACCAAAGAGCCAAGGGAGGAGCACTGTGAAGGGCCTTATGGAACCTGAAATCTCCATGGGTTCCAAGAAAGATAAACTTGTTTATACCCTTAGCCTGTCCCCAGAAAGTTCCTTCTACTTTCTGTCTTAACTGAAACCTGGCCTTCCTCTTTGAATATTATTTCTATGATTTTCCCTGTAGCCTTCCTTCTCTGGGATGGTGCTTGTCATTATTCTATACCCTGTGTGCATTAAGACTGGCAGTTAAAGACTTCAACTGCTTGCTCTCCAATACCACCTTCAATCCATTACCCCTCTACCTGCTGCTCCTTCACGGCTCATGCTATATGTTCATGCTACTTCCAAACTCATGGACACCCTATTAGACTTTGGCATCAGACATAGAATATGCTTCTTTATTCCAAATCCAGCCACCATCAGAGGCAACATAAATGTCTATATAGATGACTCTCCTAAAATGTGGGCCCTCAGTTCGTTGAAAGCCTGCCTCTACCCCAGGGATTTTTACCTCTCCTTTACTTTAGCCACTTTCTTTTTTTTTTTTTTTTTAGATTTTTTTTTTTTAATTTATTTATTTGACAGAGAGCGACACAGCGAGAGAGGGAACACAAGCATGGGGAGTGGGAGAGGGAGAAGCAGGCTTCCCATGGAGCAGGGAGCCCGATGCGGGGCTCGATCCCAGGACCCTGGGATCATGACCTGAGCCGAAGGCAGATGCCTAACGACTGAGCCACCCAGGCGCCCCTACTTTAGCCACTTTCTTAACAGCTTCTTCCTCTCTTTAAATCCTTCACCATACAGATTTCCTGGCCTATCACTCGAACCTTTTTCTTGACAATATCATCACTTTCTTTGTGCTGATGACATCCATTCCATGACCTGGAAAAACCATAATCCTTTATTAAATACAACTATCAGCTCTCTCCTCTGCTAATCCCAGGCTGGCAAATGATTTTGAAGAAAAAAAGAGGTAGATTGGTGCTATTAAAAGTTTTGCTCTTAAATGTATAGAATATTCATGGAAACACAGGTCATAGAAACAATAACAACAAAAAGGAAACAAATGTCTGTCAACTCTACCTTATGACAGAACAGCTATTAAAAGGACATGAACTGGATCTATACAGAGCAACATATATAGAATAAAAAAACAACTGTTGGGTGAAAAAAAGGAAGAAGCAAAATAAAACATAAGATTGTTGTCACACACAAAAAAGAATGTTGTTAATTAAGTAAAAAAAAAAAAAAAGAGAAAAGAAGGAAAGAAAGAAAGAAAGAAAGAAAACCCACACCAACCAGAGTGATATATTTTCTGAGGGAGTATGTATATATATGTGAAAACATTACGAAATATCTAGAAGGAAGTTCAATTTTAGAGAGGGTAGAAGGAGTTGCGATGTAAGGTGCTGGTAAAAGAACTTTAGCTTTATCTGTAACATGCTAAGTTTTATTTATTTATTTTTAAGATTTTATTTGTTTATTTGACAGAAAGAGACACAGCGAGAGAGGGAACACAAGCAGGGGGAGTGGGAGAGAGGGAAGCAGGCTTCCCGAGGAGCAGGGAGCCCGATGCGGGGCTCGATCCCAGGACCCTGGGATCATGACCTGAGCCGAAGGCAGATGCTTAATTGACTGAACCACCCAGGCGCCCCACATAATAAGTTTTAGAAGAGAATGTGATCATATATCACCTTTTAATTTAAAATTAATTAATACATTAAAATTTAAAAAAATGAAGAGTTACCAACTTCAACTAGATCCTCCATGTTTCAACTGGTTCCCTTTTTCTTTTGTTCTCTATGACACTTTAAATTTTCTCCACTCTTCTATAGTCTCATGCCATCTGCATTCCTCTGAATAAAAAATCTCTCCACCCTAGTTCACAGAGAAAATAGAAATCATCAGAAAGGAAATTAAATATTAATATTTTTATTCTCTTGTGCTCAACATCTTAGCTCATCATCTCTTGTGTGAATCCCTCTTATCTCTTTTTAATATGTGATGCAACTTGTCCTAAGGTACATGTAGGAGCACTACACCATTGTTTTTCAATATTACATATGTAAGCTATGGATTTGAAAGCAGAAAGCATCTTCACTTTGGCTTATAAAATCCTTTATATGGAAGATTGATGAGGTAAGTCTTTATATTCTGTATAAAAACAAAACTAAATTCATATATGAAAATCGTTAGTGTTTGGATACTATTAGCCTGCTAACTGGTCTTCCATCTTCATATTTTACCTTCTATGATCCATTCTGTGTATAGTAGTTAACATCAGCTTTTTTAAAAAATTTTATTTTATTATGTTAATCACCATACATCATTAGTTTTTTTTTTTTTTAAGATTTTATTTATTTATTTGACACAGAGAGAGAGAGAGAGACAGTGAGAGAGGGAACACAAGCAGGGGGAGTGGGAGAGGGAGAAGCAGGCTTCCTGCAGAGCAGGGAGCCCGATGCGGTGCTTGATCCCAGGACCCTGGGATAATGACCTGAGCCAAAGGCAGACGCTTAACGACTGAGCCACCCAGGCACCTCATCAACATCAGCTTCTTAAACATGAGCCAGATAGCCCTCCCCTGCTTAATATCCTCTAATGGCTTCCAGCTATACTTAGAATAAAATACAGACTTCATCTAGTAGTTCTTGCATTATTTAGCTTCTGCCAATCTTAATTATTCTTTAAATCAATTCAATTAATTAATTCAGATTAATTAATTCTGAATTAATTAATTCAGATGCCACACTGGTTTTCTTTGGATTCTTTTTATTTTTTTTAAATTGAAGTATAGTCGACATACGCTGTTATATTGGTTTCAGGTGTACAACATTGTGATTCGACAACTCTATACATTACTCAGTGCTTACCATAAGTGTAGTCACCATCTGTCACCACACAAAGTTATTGCAATATTATTGATTAAATCCCTATGATGTACTTTTCATCTCTGTGACTTATTTCATAACTGGGAGTTTGTACCTCTTAATTCCCTTCACCAATTTATCCATTCTCCCACCCCCCTCCCCTCTGGCAACCACCAGTTTTCTGTATTTATGAGACTGTTTCTGCTTTTTTGTTTATTTGTTTTGTTTTTAGATTCCACATATGAGTGAAATCATATGGTATTTCTTTTCTCTGTCAGACTTATTTCACTTAACATAATACTCCCTAGCTCAATCCATGTTGTCAAAAATGGCAAGATCTCATTCTTTTTTATGGCTGAGTAACATTTTGTTGTGTATATATACACCACATCTTCTTTATCCATTCATCTATGGATAGACACTTAAGTTGCTTCCATATGTTGGCTATCGTAAATAATGTTGCAATAAACATAGGGGTACACGTATCTTTTTGAATTAGTGTTTTTGTTTTTGGGGTGTAAATACCCAATTCTTCTCTAACTACCCTAAATAAACTCTTATTCTTTCCCATTTCAGGACTCTTGCCCTCAAATCTCCTTTCCCTTTCTCAGCCCCCAATACTTGCTGATAAAAATAGCATGTTCAGAGTCACTTCCCATGGCTAGCTCCTATTCATCCTTTGGGTCTCAACTTACATGCCACCTCCTCAGAGAGGCCTTACCTGGCCATATTATCTAAAGTGTAGTTTCCCATGTTATTCTCAAGTTTAGCTCTTTGTTGTTTCCTTCAAAGGACTTACCATATTTTTTTCGTAATTTTTAATTATTTTATTTTTTCATTGGTTTACTAGACTTTTGCATGCCTCTCCCACCAGTCTAGGAGCTCCACAAAGCCATTATCCACACCTGCCTTGTGACCAGCACGTAGTGAACATTCACCGGGTCTTTGCTGACTGAATGAAAAGAAGTCCTTGAACATCCTGTCGCTCCGCTCTCAGTCAACCCCCGGGAGCGTCCACCCACACCTTTTCTCCTCTATGGCTCTTGGGATACAATGGAAGAGATGCTCTAGCCAAGGCCATTCTCTCCCACCTCCTTAAGAAACTCCTTGCAGGGCGCCTGGGTTGCTCAGATGGTTAGGCGTCTGCCTTCGGCTCAGGTCATGATCTCAGGGTCCTGGGATCGAGTCCCGCATCGGGCTCCCTGCTCCTTGGGAGCCTGCTTCTCCCTCTGCCTCTCTCTCTCTGTCTCTCATGAATAAATAAATAAAATTAAAAAAAAAAAAAGTTAAAAAAAAAACAACTCCTTGCATCCTTGATTCTTCTGTCAATACTCAAAGATGTTCCCATGAAACAACCAACCTGCCAGAAACCCCAAAAGTTCCCTTCAGGCCTCAGGTCAGCCCTTGCCGGCCCTCTTCCCCTGGCTTTCAGGACTCAGCTGAACACTCTCCTGTGTTCCTCTACAACTCCTTCTCAGGTTCTTTTTTTTAGGGAGCCCTTAAATGTTGGGATCCCCCAAAGTCCTTTTTTTTTTTCAACCCCCCAGTGACAAGGGGGAGGGATTCTCGTGAGGGTAGAGTCTGGAAGAGTTCTGACAATGGGGCGCTGAGGAGTGAGGCTGGGTGAAGCGGGGTGGATAAGGAGAGAGCTATGAAAAGCCCGAGGCCACTGGTCAAGGAGGACAGGTGCTGCCGAGAGGACCTGAGCGTCTGTGACGTGTCGCGGGGTGGAAGACTGGAGAGAACGGGAGGCGCGCGCCGGGACCAGGCAGCCTTGCGCTCCGCAGAAAAAAGCGCGCGCTCGTGAGCGCGGTGGCCTCTGTACGCCTGCGCCGCCGTTGCCGGGCACCCGCCGGCGAAAGGACAACGTAGGGAAGGGGTGGGGGCCGCGGGGACTCCGGAAGGCCACCCTTTACCCGGAAATGGTTGTAGAGGAACATGGCGTTGCTGGTGCGAGTCCTTGTGAGTGAAGGAGTAAATTGCTGCGGTCGCCCGCTGGGCCCCAGGGTTGGACTCGGAGAGGGCAGGGCGGGAGAAACTGGAGGAAAGTGCAGGAGGGGAGCTTGTGCGGCAGCGAGGCTACGCGACCGCCTCTCTTGCGGGGAAACTGAGGCAGCGTCCTACTTCCCCCTACCGTTTGGCTGTGGCTTCCCCCGCTTTGGAGGAGGGAGAGGGCGACATCGGACCAAAATTTGGCGAAGTTTGCTTTTTCTTAGTCACCTCATGCGACCTTTTTCCCGCAGGGAGAGGCAGCACGTGGGGGCACTGATTGGAGTGTCGGGAGACCTGGGTTCTAGTTTCTCTTCTGTCATTGATGCCCAGTGTGACCTTGGACGAGTCACTTTCGGGCCTTTTCCCGGTAGGAAAAACGAGGTTAATCTGCAGTCCCTTTGGTTTCTGAGGTTCTCTGGGTTTGTTTCCGAGATCGGTGAGACGATTCGTAACTGTACAGTTAAGTGGAATACTATTATAGGTTGTTAGGTTGAAAGCTGCACAAAAACCGGGCTCAGATCTGTCGTTTTGACTTTGCCTAGCACAGTGTATGGCACATCATAGGTGTTCAAGAAATATTTATTGAAGGAATTAATGAAGTAAGGAAGGAAGGATTACTAGACTGCTTAAGGGAAACTGCTGCACTTGAGATTCAGTCCTTATCCTTCTCCATACTCTGACATCTGAGAATTCAAGGAGAAAGTGAGCAGAAAAAGGTTAGGAAGATACAGAGCTTAGTTACTAATCATTGAGGGATGGAAGGGTTTATAATTTTAGCGAGTCTTTCAAAAATTGGGTCAAGGACATTGTTTTTCAGAGCAGACACTTTCCATTCCTGCCTCTGGCTATCTTGTGAGTTGTTATTTACACTTAACGTTTCTGATCTTTTTATATATGGTTTACAAGGACTGCTGTTTTACCTCTTGTATTTCTTGTCAGCCTAGCAAAGGCTGCTCAGTAAGTGTTTGAAGAATAATAGCTCATTTAACTTACAGAAAGATTCATTTGGTGAAGTAATTGTTGATGCCAGGGCAGAAGTTGATTCAGATTTGAGAACTGCTGTTGGAAATGGCAACTAGGATGTCCTTATTTAGTTTTTAAGGTGGGTATGTCAGGAAAAAGGTAAAAAGTTTATTGGGCTGTACATCCGAAATGAACATCTTGATTTGTCTTGGAAGTTAGTGGCTGTCCCAGATATATTAAATATTCTTGCCCCCTGAGTGTGTGGACTGTTGCAGGTTTATTCTTGGGTGGTAGCGTCCATTGAAACCACTTAACTGCCCTCTGTTAGTCAGATTTTTTTTCTGTTTATTCCTTTCTGTTCATCTTTTTAGATAAAAACCAAGTTTAGATAAGGAAAGTCACTTTTACTTTTTTAGGTTTTAAAATCACTTTCACTTTATACTGTGATTGTTTAAAGGCCTCTTATAAGATACAATCTCCCTTAGGACTAGTTGAAAGTGGCAGTAAACATGAAAGCAGCAGATATTTATTGAATACCTATTCTGAAGAGGCATTTGCATTAGGTACTGAGGAATTCACAAATACAGGCAATCTACCTGTCTAGGAGTCTGAAGAGCCTTGGTTGAAAGTTTGGCTCCATTACTTATTGTGAATGTGGCCTTGAGCAAGTCATCTAATTTCTCTGAGCCTCAGATTTTCTTAACAGTAAGTTTGATAGGATTGATCAGAAAATCAGTTGATACAGGTGACATTTAAGTGCTTTTCTTCCCTTCCTTTTAGTTTAGCAACTGTTTTGAGAGTTTACTACATTCTAGGAGCTATCCTAGGGACTGAGGATGAAAAACATACACCTTTCTCTCAAGTTTATAATCTAAGAGGAGAGACAGAAAAGAGAACTACTAATACAATACTTGAAATGCTGTGATAGAAGTCTGTACCAGGTGCTACAGGAGCAGAGTAGAGACACATCTAGCCCAGCTTGAGGATAAGCATCCATCAGGGACAGATGCCTGAACTAAATGAGAGCACTAGAGAATGGGAGAGAGCATAGAAGAGAAGCATTAGCTTATGCTACTAATGCCAGACAACCAAGAACTGTATGTGAATCTTTGGCTTGACTCAGGGACACTTATGGGGAAATGGCAGGAGAGGAGTCAGGGCCTTGTGTTTCATGGTTAGGATTAGAGGTTTATCCTGAGGCAGAGGGGAGCCTTTGAAATATTTTAAGCAAGGGAAGATTTATTTTTAATAGCGTTTTTTCCAAATTTTAAAAATTTATTTATTTATTTATTTATTTATTTATTTTCCAAATAATTTTCAATTTGAAAACAACCCGATCTTCATTTTCAAGTTGTTCTTATGCCTATAATATAAACCACTAAGGTACTTCTATAGAGTGAGACCCTGAGTCTTTCAAATGGACTAAGGGAGGAGGTGCATCATGGGTAAGTTGCAAATGCACACTGAGGAGGTTTGAATGGTGTGCAACCTCATGTGAACTGATAGCAGCCCAGTGTCCAGGCTGGTTTCCTGTGGTCCCCCGTTTGCGCCTGGCCCTGGAGACTGGGTTCTAGGACAAGGTTATGCACTCCCTGACCTTTTGTGACTTGTGCTGCAGATAAGTAGTCTGTGATAGTCATGTGTATATATTGCTTGGCATCATCTGTCATGCTGTAGATGGCATTTATGTCAAAGCTTCTGTTTTTAGGGCAAAAAAGTTTGTTTTTAAAGGTTTTTTGATACATTTATTTTTTTATTTAAAATTTTAAAGTTAGAGAATAATTGACATACAATAAGTTGTACTTACTTAATTATACAATTTAGTAACTGTTAACATAGATACACACTTGAAAACTATCACCACAATAAAAATAATGAACATGTTTCTCACTCCCCAACATTTCTTTGTGTTCTTTTGCAGTCCTTTTCTCCTATTGTTCTCCCCCTGCAACCACCACTGATCAGGGGAACACTTTAGTTTCTTTTCTCATTTTTTATTTTATTTTTTAAAATTTTATTAATTTATTTTTTAAAGCTGTGGTCTTTTTAATTTAATTTTATTATTATTATTTTTTAAAGATTTTATTTATTTATTTGACAGAGAAAGACACAGCGAGAGAGGGAACACAAACGGGGAGTGGGAGAGGGAGAAGCAGACTCCCTGCCGAGCAGGGAGCCTGATGCGGGACTCGATCCAGGGACTCCAGGATCATGACCTGAGCCGAAGGCAGTCGCTTAACCAACTGAGCCACCCAGGCGCCCTAATTTTATTTTTTTTAAAGTAAGCTCTACACCCAGTGTGGGTCTTGAACTCATGACCCTGAGATCAGGAGTTGAATGCTCTACCAACTGAGCCAGCCAGGTGCCTCTCTTCTCTCATTTTTAAATTGAAATTTAAAAATTTTATTTTGAAAGTATAAAAAAGTTTTTTAAAAAAAAAGAAACATCATTGTAAACTCTCATACTCACTATTAGATTTTTGCTTTAATAGATCCCTGTAGCAGTTGTGGATGGATCAGTCAGAGGGCTGAGATTCAAGTCCTGGAGGCCAGTCAGAAGCTACTCAAGTAATCCTGGAAGAAGTGAGGAAGGCCTGTACTAAGAGGGAAAAGTGTGGTTAAAGAGGAAGGGATGATTTCAGCAGGTATTGAGGAAACCATCTACAGGGCTTGGTGAAAGGTTAGATATTGAGGGTGAGGGAGAGGGATGTCTTAACAGTGAGTCCCTGGTCTGCCTTGGATGACTGAGTTAATATAGCAGTGTCCTTCACTGAGGACTCATATTCAGCTGAGAAGAAGGTGGTGTTTTGTTGTTATTTTTTTTTTTTTAGTAGCTAGAGAGTTGGTGTCAGGAGAGAGTAAGGAAGCTGAGATAAAGGTTGTAGTTGAAATAAGACGTTGATATTTCCTGGGCAAGAATATAGATAGCTAACATTTTTAGGGCATTTATCAGGGTGCCCTGGGTGGCTCAGTGGGTTAAATGCCGGACTCTCGATTTCAGGGAATTCTATGTTTAATTCTTTGAGCATTTGCCATTTTATTTTCCACAGTGGCTGCAGTGTTTACATTCCCACCAAGAAAGCATAAGGGCTCCAGTCCAGTTTCTCCACATCTTTGCTAATGCTTGTTATTTTTCCTTCCTTCCTTCCTTCTTTCCTTCCTTTCTTCCTTCCTTCCATAGTGACCATCTTTTTTTTTAGAATGTTATCAAATTATATATTTATGCATTGTGTGCCCATCAGCATAGATTTACAATTATTCTTTATGCAGTTGCCTTTTAAATTAAAAATAAAAATGTAAATAAAAAATAATTATTAACAAAAAATATATTCATGTTTTATTTTTTATTTATCTAAGTAGTTACCTTTATCAGTGTACTTTATTTCGTCATGTGGATTTGAGTTACTGTAGTGTCAGAGGTCTCATTTCAGCCTGATGTTTTCCCTTTAATATTTGCTGTAGAGCAGGTCCACTGTTGACAGATTTTCTTAGTTTTTGTTTATTTAGAAAGTCTTAATTTTTCATCTCACTGCCTTCTGTCTTCCATGGTTTCTGAGAAGAAATCAGCTGTTAATGTTATCAATGATCTCTTATACATGTTGAATAGCTTTTCCTGCTTTTAAGATTGTATGTCTTTGTCTTTCAACAGCTTGATTATGATATGTCCATTTATAGATCTCTCTGAATTTATGCTACTTGAGTTAGTTGAGCTTCTTGGATTTCTAGATTGATGTTTTTCATCAAATTTGGGATGTTTTCTGCCAGTATTTCTTCAAATATTTTTCTGTCCCTCTATTTCTCTCTTGTTTTTCCGAGACTCCCATTATATGTTGGTACATTGGATGGTATACCATAGTTCTCTGAGGCTCTGTGAATTTTTTTTTTCATTCTTTTTTCTTTCTGTTCCTTAGTATGGATAATCTCAGTTGGCCTGTTCTCATGGTCACTGATTTTCTCTTCTTCAGATCTACTGTTTAACCCCTCTAGTGAAATGTTTATTTATTCTTTTCAACAGAAGAATTTCTATTATTTATTTATTTATTTTATTTACTTGTCAGAGTGAGAAAGAGAGAAAGAGAGAATGCACAAGCAGGGGGACTGGCAGGCAGAGGGAGGGGGAGAAGCAGGCTCCCCGCTGAGCAGAGAGCCTGACATAGGGCTTGATCCTGGGACCCTGGGATCATGACCTGAGACGAAGGCAGTTGCTTAACTGACTGAGCCACCCAGGCGCCCCAAGAATTTCTGTGTTTTAAAAAAATAATCTCTCTGTTGATATTCTCTATTTGGTGAGATAGCATTCTTATACTCTGCTATGGTTCCTTAGACATGGTTTCCTTTAGATTTTAAACATTTAAAATAGCAGGCTCAAAGTCTTTGTCTAGTTTGTCTAACATCTGAGCTTCCT